ATGATACTTTTTATATGTAAAAAATTAAAACTTTATGATTCAATATATTTTTTTTTAAATAATAAAAAGTAAATTTTCTTAGCCATACATTGACTAGGGATTGAAAACTGTAGCATCTACTTCAACATTTAAAATAGTTAAATCATAGAAAAATACTTATTCAATACAAGATGAACTAAATTACTAGTAAGATGCTGTATAGGCGATGGATTTATACCTATAAAACATCTAAACTAGATTTTTGTAAAATTTCGAAGATGAAGAATATTCTTATTTAGTATCAACTAATCCAAGCAAAAATTCAACAGATTACACTCCGTTAATTATGGCTCATCCTAGTATGAATATTAGTAAATATAAAAATTATTTATTACAAAGACTAAATATTTAATTTAATAATATTCATTTTTGATATTAGTCAACTCAAATTAATTAATTTTAGCTTCAATAATAATAATTTTTGTTTGTTTATTCCCTATTATTTAAATTAAATTAATTTAATTCATTCTAGAATTTTATGAGAAATTAATTAACTTTAAATTAAAAATAGATGCACAATAATATATTTATGATGTAGAATTCTAAAATGAATAAAGCAATGACAATGATAAGTAAATGTATGCAAATTAAACTAGCTTTCTAAGAGAAATCTTTACTATTGAAAATTCATGTAAAGAATTGATTCAAATGAATAACAGCTACATAAGAACTATAGTAAAGGATGGATAATAGTATTTAACAAGGTTTTCACCTATTTTCGTATGCTATGGAAATTAATATGAACAATATAGCAGTAAAGTTGGTTACTATGTTAAATCAATTTCGTATTAAAAAAGAGATAAATATACAAAGGAAATTTCTTAAATGATGGAATTTATGGTCAAAACAATAATTATTTTGGTTATTGTAGCTATTTTATTTATAAGCATTATTTTTTTTATTTTGCTAAAATATTTTCTAAAGCATAATTTCGAAATTCCAATAGCCATAGTAAGTAAAGTTATTTAAGAAGCTGATTGTGAAAGGTAAAGTTTATTTTTATTATTCATTTACTTAGTTAGTTATCGCTGTTTAGATTTAGATTTATATATTTTATAAAAGCATTTATATTCTTAATACTAAGATGAAA